TACCCATAAGTTGTTCTTACATCTATGATTTTTTCTATTTTGTGATATTCATTTATTGCTATTATTTCTCTTTTCCAAATTCTATCAAAGACTTTCCATTTTCCTATTTTTAAGTCTAACGATAATTTTTACAATTTTCTAAACTTGTTATTATCAAAAATAACTTTTAATCCATATCCTTCTATTCCTTCATATTCTTGTATATTTATATTATTATTTTTTATTTCTTCAATCTCTTTATTCAAATCCTAATTCGTCCTCTTTTGTTTCACTTATATATACTTCTTGGTCATAGTATTCTTCAATATCTGATATTTCACTTTATTCATATTTTATTTCTAAGTATTCTTTTTGTAATACTCTAACTTTATTTTTGTTACAATCAGGGCTTATATGACACATTTCTCCACAATTCCAACATTTACATTGACTTTTATTTTTATTTTTATTCTTTTGTTGATTATATGAGTTATTTTTTCTTTTGTAATACCTTCTTCTAGGTTTTATATTTTTTTTATTAAAATTTCTAATTTTTTAAAACTTTTTATTCTTATATTTTCTTTTATTAATTCTTTTTTCAGGATTACATTTCCATTGTACAGGGATTTCCATATCTTCACAACATATTTTAGTTAATTTTCCTGATTTTTTCATTAATTGTCTTTGTTGACATATATATACAAGTCTTTCGAATAAAAATTTTATTCTTGAACCTAAAGTTCTAGGTATTCTAGTATTATCTCTAACATATTTTTCAAATTCTATTTTAAAATATATTTTTCATGAACCTGGTAACTTATTATAATAGATGTCTTGGTATACTTCTTGATTTTCATTACTACAAAATTGAACATAATAGTAATTTTTAAATTCACAAGTATATTCTTTAATTTTTCACATATCACATATTGTTAAGTTTATTAATTTTATTCTAGCATTATCTTTTTCTCTTATTTATTCTTCTTCAACATTTTTTATCCAATTTTCTCCTAGAAATTCATCTGAAATAAATTTCACTAATTTTTCTATACCTTGTCTATCTGATTTGATTATTTCTGTTTGTACATTTCTTTTTATTAATGTTTTTGTATCATTGCTTATTCCTTCCTACCAATTTCTAACATCTCCTTCAAATGATGCTATTAAGAAATCTATTCTTCTTTCAGTATTTTTCCATGTGTCATCTTTGTTATATAAAAAGAATAATATCATCGAATCTGTCTAAGTTAATAAGGCTTTTTTGGTATCTATTTTACAATTTAAATATAGCTTTGTTCCTCCATGACTAATTGGTTTATCATAACTATTATTTAATTCAAACCCATTTTTATATTTATTTCCTTTAGGTGGTTGTCAATATCTTACTTTATCATAGAATTGTCTATATGGTTTATTATATATAAGTGCATATCTTTCATCTGTGTCATGTAATTCTTGTTTAGAGGTTCCTGCTGGATTAGGTCCTCCTCCAATATTCATTAAAACTTGGTATTCAGTTATATCAGTTAAACTTAATTGATCAAAATTTTCTATTAGCAAATCTAATTCTTCACCCATCTTCTTTTTCTTATACTTTTAATTTTCCTAATGATTTTTCTCTAGATTCTTCTTCCTCTTCTAGTATTTTTTGTAATATATTCTTTCTGAATTCATCATCCATACTCCCTATTTCTATTACTATATTTTCTTTTTCTATATATTTCTTTCCTATTCGAATAATTTCTTTTTCTATAAATTTTTTTATCTATTTTTTTTATCTTTATTCTTATTATTTTCTTTTAATTCTCTAATCTCAATTTTTAATATATTTATATAATTTCTTGTTTCTTTTACTTCATTTCTCAAATCTTGTACATCATTTATTAACATTTTTATAAATGATTTTAATTCTTTCATATATTCACTTATTGATATTTTAATTTTTTCTTATTTCTAACTCATAAGTTAATTTGCATCTTTTATCTTCTTTTTTATCTATTATTTTTCCAAATCTTCTTTCAGCTATATCTGGATCTACCAATTTTTCTTTTACTATAGTAAAATATTTGCTCTCAAGTCTTAGTCTTTCACATTTTAATTTTGTTAATTGTCTATTATTTGGTATTTTCATTCCTTCTGGTATTAACATTATATTTCTTATTTCTTTTTGTATTTTTATCCATTTTTAAAAATAATTTATTCAATTTTGTATGTGTATTATCAATTATACTCATATTTTTCTTTATAATATAAATTATTTTCTTTATCTTCATATATATTAATAATTTTTTCATATGTATAAATAGCTTTTATTTTTTCTATTATTAATTTTTCTAATATTTGTTCCTTTATTTCTTTAGGAAGTTATTTAATTATTGTCAAAGTTATTATTTTTAATTTATTATGAATATGTTTTAAAAATATATAATTACCTTTTTCTTCTTCAAAACACCAATAATTGTCTATTTTTCTTATTTTAATTTCCATGATATCTATGACTCTGATACCAATATGGGGGGAGGGGGGGGGGCTACTTAGAGCGAGCAAAAATCAATTAAATCAAATAAAAATATTAATCAAATAAATCAAATAAAAATTATCAAATTTCAACCAATATTAAATTTTAAGGACTAAAATAGAAAATTTCTATATTATGATGCCTTGTTATGTAATATCCAAATGGAGGGCATTTTTGGTATGTAAATTGCCTAAGGGTCATTTTGGAAAAGTAACCCCTTTGAAAATGTTATTTCCATATATTTCCTTTTTACTTCACATTGGGTCGCTTTGGATGGGCTGGAACCACAAATCAACCCCAACCCACATAAACTTTGATATGAGTGTACCCGACCCAACCTGAAATTTTTATTAAACCGGCTCGACTCAGGATTGGTCGGGTTACTGATTTATGTGCCTAGCCGGCCAGCCCTACCCCTACCCCTATCCCTATCCCTTATTAAAAATCTAATGCATTCGATAATTATACAAATTTTATAAATCAGTGAATACCATTATAATGGGAAAGATAGTAGAAAACTTATAATATATAGAAATAAAAACATATAGATGCAAATTATGTACGTGTAAAATATATTTCCATAATAGTCAAGTGACAATTATTGCACATGGTAGGTTATGATTGATAGAATAAGTCAATGAAGATGAATATAACAAGTCAGAAATAATATAATAAAATATTAAATTTTGAATAGAATATAATTATATCTAGTTAGACAACACAATGTTTGATGTAATAATATTGTACCAATATAATGTTTGGTATTACAATTTTTGAATAAGAATAATAGTATACTTGTTCGAATACATTGCAATAAACTCACCTTATAAATGTGACAATGTCATGCCCTCTATAGAGTTGTGGATGGATTAGGTGTCCGAAATTTTCCAAACTCAAGTTACCTTTTTATTTCTTGATACAATTGCACATATTTAGCACTTGGTATTGAACAGAACTTAATAATATTATGGATAAAATTCTAACTTTTTTTCCTTTTCAGAATCTTAAGAGTCATTGTAAATTTAGGTGTCTCGAATAGATATTTTAATAGACTCTCTTAAAATTCACTAAATTTATGTGTCATCAACTGAGATTTTAAATAGATTTCAGAATAATTCAATGAAATCCATTAAAATCTAGGTATTTGTAGATTTATAAAAATTTAATTAACAAAGGAATTGATTGATTTCGTGCTTAAAAATACACTTGCCAATCTCATTTGAAATTTTATCATACTTAAAGACATTCTTATAGATTATGTGAAAAACTATTGAAATTTACAAAATTCATTAGTATTTGCAATCTTTTAACAATTTATTAAATTTCTAGTTGAGGACACTCATCTTCTACATTGAACATTTCACACATTAATTACAAGCAAACCAAAATCTTTGATGATTTCATGGATTGTTATCTTGATAATAACGAAAGTTGAAACAAATTTTATTTAGGTGACTATGCTTCTAATAAACAAACACGACAAATTCACCATTGGTATCTAATACATTAGATGAATTGCTATCTAAATGTCAACTTTTCTTAAAATAAAAATAAATTCACATTCACATTCACATTAATTTTCTCCGTTTGACCTAAAGTATGTTTGATTACAATCATGAAATTTATATGTAAAGAAAATAAATTCTAAGCAATTAAAATACCTGGAACTTATTTGCATGAAAATTGTCAATTAAATTTGTTTGATTGATTAAATTTCTAATCTAGAAAAATGTTATACTTGTCTATTTTCTATTGGTGTGTAGATGAGAGAGAGAGAGAGAGAGAGAGAGAGAGAAAATTACCTGAAAAATAAAAATCTTTGCGTGGAACTTATTTACATGAAAATTGACAATTAAATGTGTTTGATTGATCAAATTTCTAATCTAAAAAAATGTTATACTTATCTATTTTCTATATCTATTAAACACCACAAATATAGAATTTTGGATAAAAAAAATGATATTTTTCGTGAAAAATATCGGTAATCAAACGCCTCCTAAATTTCATTATTAAAATAGTATAACACGATAAATAAACATTCATATTTTTACCACAGATAGAAAAAGCATTGAAAGTACCCCCAGGGCATATCTCCCAATGGCAAAGGGGAGGGCGGATAGGGCTCAGCGTGACAGTGTGCAGAGTTCGATTCCCCGTAAGGTGGAATTGGCTTTGTTGCAAGCGGGAATTACCATATGGGTTAACAGCCTTGGCCTATTCATGTGCTCTCCACCCTGACTCCCGGGAGGCACATCCTGCGATTTACCTCCTCCACGATGGCTTAAGACAGGATCGGTGGGGGCCCTTAAGGTTGGGGTTAAACCTTTTTTTTGAAAAAGCATTGAAAGTTGTTTGTCCTCAATCAATTCATCAAAAAGCAACGAAATTAACGGAAGAATCCCAACGGTAAAGAGGAAAATGACGTCAAGTTTCCAGCTGGCAGATGGCAATATCGTTATTTAACATAAACAGCGTGTTATTTTCGTAAACTGATTCGCTTTCCAGCATGGCCTGTTTGTTTCTTCCTTCTACTCCACGCCCATTGTCTACCCCTTTTCCTCTTCTCCATTGTTCCATAGTTGAAATTCAAGCAGTTTCTCTCAGTACAGATTTTCAGTAAAAGGGTGTACAGTATATACTATGAGAAGAAGAATCTACAGCCCACAAGAGTGAATATCGAAACATGTTTTGTTGTTTGGCCCCTCCTTTTTCTTTCAATTTATCTTTTTTTTACACTTCTCCAATTCGTTGTTTGATCGGCTGTAACCATACTTCCGCTCGCTTCTGCTCACGATAATTCAACAGAGGGATACGTATACATTCAGAAAATTTAGAGAATTAGAGGTTTATTTTTTTAGTTTTTTATTATTTGGGTTTCTATGATGCAGCAGAGTGGAGGGGCACCGAGTTTTGTGAGGAAGTTTTTAATAAAATTGTTTTTATTCTGTCTATTTGTTATCGCCGCCCGTTTTGCTTACGTCGTGACTCTTCGAGGGGAATTATGTGACCACGGAGATTTCTGTTTCTTCTCGTTGCCGGAAAATATCAATGTTGTGGTGGGCATCAGGAAACGGGCCAAACCCTCGTCGGTGATTATCTCCATCAATGGAAAGCCGGCGCCGGCTATGCCCAAGAAGATGCCGGAACTCTGGACTTCCGAGGGTTTCCAGAAGTCCGTTCGTTTCTATTCCTCAATCTTCCAAGATCTGATTTCTGAGGGCTTCTTGAGCCCTAGCTATAAGGTCCTTTGCGTTGAAACACAGACGGGTGCTGACGTTTTTGCGTTGAAAGAGATTGGGGCGGATGATTCGATAGGGATTTTCAAGAAAGCATTTAAGCCCTTAGTCATTTCAGGGCTGGGTTTTAAGCAGCCATTCAAGAATGATACTTTCGATTTTGTGTTTTCCGGTAGCCGTATGATTGAGAAGTCTTCGAAGTTGGTTGATTTTGCGAGGGAGATTTCCAGGACCCTGAAACCCGAAGGGTTTCTGGTGGTTCACACGGCCACGAAAGATGAGTACTGTCTCAATTCGTTTCTTGATTTGTTTCACTTTTGTAAATTGGTAAAACTTAGGGATATCGGTGGGATTGATTCCAAAATGCCAATTATTCGTGAAATTGTCATGAAAAAAGTGAGTGGTTACGGAGACATCAAACAAATTATTGGCCAAGAGATGGGAAATCAGAGTGTTGAATGCTCAGTTCCGGGGTATAAGCAAGAATTGATCCATAAAGCAGAGCCTCTAATTGAGGAAGAACCAAAGAAGCCTTGGATTACTTTGAAGAAGAATTTACAGAACATAAAGTACTTGCCATCAATGGCTGATATAAGTTTTAAACAGAGGTATGTGTATGTGGATATTGGAGCTAGAAGCTATGGGTCAAGCATTGTTAGTTGGTTTAAAAAGCAATATCCAAAACAAAACAAGACTTTTGAAATATATGCAATTGAGGCTGATAAGACATTCTATGACGACTATAAGTATAAGAAAGGGGTCACCTTGTTGCCCTATGCAGCATGGGTGAGGAATGAAACCCTGTTTTTCGAGATTAATAATCAAGACCCCAGTCATAAAAATGTGAAGAAAGGTAGAGGGATGGGGAGGATTCTACCGGTTCAGTCTTCAGGCAGTTCTAGTTCTTCTGGGGACGTGTATGAGATTCAGGGATTTGATTTTGCTGAATGGTTGAAGAAATCAGTGTCTGAGAGGGACTATGTGGTTATGAAGATGGATGTAGAAGGGACTGAATTTGATTTGATTCCCAGGTTGTTTGAAACTGGAGCAATATGTTTGATTGATGAAATTTTTCTTGAATGCCATTATAATAGGTGGCAGAAATGTTGCCCGGGGGAGAGAACGACTAAGTACCAGAGGACGTATGGGCAATGCTTGGACCTGTTTTCTTCTCTAAGAGAGAGTGGAGTCCTAGTGCATCAATGGTGGTGACTGGTAATAGCTATATAGGTATTCTGTTCCATTTGTTGTTTTTAAAGTTTCTTTTTTTGCTCACAAATCAAAACGTTGTAACTTTTTGTACCATCATTCATTGAATTCCTACCCTATGTATTTAAGATTAAAGTCATATTTGAATTTTATATGTTATTCTGCAGCTCAAAAAATCTTTTCGGGTCTGCAGAATTCAAGATTGTTTACTTTTAGAAATAGATAACCAAATTTTACTGAACTCTTTTGTAATATATTCAATTTTTCTCTGCTGAGTTTGGGAACAGTTCAAATTCTTCTTCTCAGGGTTAAAAAATAAAAAATAAAAAATAAAAATAAAAATAAATAATAATTCTTTATGTTCATTGAAAAATCTATTGCGCATATCAACTAGGGCTGGACAAAACTCCCGAACCGAACAGAACCGAACCCGACGGTTCTTCTCAAGTTAAATACCCGAACGGGTATTTGAATCAAGAATCGACGGGTATGGTTCGGTTCTCGATTCTAGGCCAAGACCCGAAGAACCGAATAAGAACCGAATCTCCGTAATTTTTTAAATTAATTTATTTTAAATAAGTAAAATTATTTTATTTTTTCTAAATAAATTTATTAACTAATTAATTTAGTTCAAACCACAAAATATGATTTTCCTATTTCTAATATTTAGTTCAAAATGGACTTAATCAAATTGACCTCAATTTTATCCAAATCTGTTATTATACTGTAGTGTCGTTTCTACCAGAGAAAATCGTTAGAACCGAATCGAACCGGACCATGTCTAGCCCTAATATCAACCAAGGGGTAGGGGTGACAGTAGGCCGGGCCGAGCCGGCTCGGCTCGTTAACCCACGAGCTCGGTTCAGGCTCGTGGCTCTTTTTCACGAGCTGAGCTCGTGCTCGGCTCGTTGCTTGTGGGCGAGCTCGGCTCGGCCCACGAGCTCGTGTACTCACAAGCCACGAGCTCGTGGGTCGGGCCGGGCCGAGTTCGCGAGCTCGTGAAATTTTTTTTTTCTTTCAAATTTTTCAATTTTTATTGATAAAATTTCAAAATTTTCCACCTTTTTGGACCAGCCGGCTCGTGAGCTCGGCCCACGAGCCGCTCGACGAGCCGAGCGGGCTCGAGCAGCCCACGAGCCGAGCTTTTGACGAGCCGAGCCGAATTTTGACGAGCTGAGCCGACGAGCCGCGAGCCGGCTCGGCCCATTTGACATCCCTACCAAGGGGCATTGCGAATTAGAAGAAAGTAAATCATTATGCAAACCTTAAACTGTTTGCTCGTATTGTATGTTGAAATTATAGTAGACTTCATTTTTGATAAATAAAGGAGAAAAGCTGAATAAAAGTTTTATAGCAAGAACCAAATCATAACTCTCCATAACTATCCTGAAGGAAGTAAATCGAAAAATCTGTATGCGTTGGAAGTACTGCTTGTGCCTAAAAATAAAGATTAAACAGAATCCATGTTGGATTGGCGTTGACGATTGAAGATACTGTTTTGACTGTTTCTTTGTAAAGTACCTCACATCTGCATAATCCATGTTCCATTTGTTGAGAATTAATTCTGTTTTGCTTTTCTAGTCAAACTCATTTATTGCCTTATTCTGAAATGCTAGAAGTTTGGAAATCGTTAAACTGCCGTCCGCTGTGAAATTTTACAAGAATATTTAGTCTCTTTGAAAGGAAAATTATTGTTACATTTAGATCTTCATTTTTAGCTTAAAACATCTGTTTGACTTGCTGTAGTGCCTCGACTCCTCATAATAAATTATCTAGCAGCTTCAAAGGGATGGAGATTGAAATAATTCAGCTGCAGTTTTATGATTGAATTATGTAAATTTCCTGACTCCTGCATCTTATTAACTTAATTCAGCCAGGCGCCTTTGTAAACTTTGCATTCCTTTCACCTCCAAGTTCTGAAACACTTTAATTCTTCTTGTTCAAATAAATACGCCCTATTTTCGGGTCATTATATAATGTTTTACATGACTTTATTTAAGGTGATGTAAATATGTTGAAACACTTCGTGGGCATAGATTGAAATAGCATATGTCAAATTCCCAGAAAGGCTCTTGATGAGTAACTTGATTGCTCTCTTGCAAAAGACCTTTGGTCCTTTGGTTTTCTGCGTACTACCAATCATTGGAAATCAATACATTTTATCCTATCTACTGAATTAATATTTCATTGCATTTGCCAAAAATGCAAGAAATTCTTGAAGTCGATTGGGCAATTTTTTTACATTACCCCCCCTGGTTTTGAATGCTTCAGGTATGCATGGAAATAGATCATGAATGTGACACAAAACAGTCTGTTTCGTAGTGGTGCAAAATTATATTCATTCATAGTGTTGAAATACTGCTTGCAGTGGCCATTTTGATCTTTGTACTCGTGGTAAATAAAAACCTGAACTTTCATATGTATAAAATGAACTGTATATTAGTCATCTTAACTGTTGACCAAGATGACGGTTTGATACATATTTTCCTCTCAACGGGCATTGCTTCAATAATTTTTTTGGGATAACATGCTTGCTTCTGTTTAGTATTGAACTTATAATATTTCGATAGTGACGCATATCGGACATAGAGTAAACTGATTCAATTGTAAGATGCAGATATGATATGTGGGTATAAATAAATTTTACAGCAGTTTATTCGTCCGGTATAGAATTAAAAAATTTGTACCACTTGTCAATCTAAGTGACGAAGATCTCACAAACTGGTGGGTTAACCCAGTTTCTGTTTCCTTAACTACAAGTGCCATCTAGTCCAGTTGTTGCTTCATTGATCAAGTTTGCTTTTTTCTTTTTGCGTTTATTGGTTTTTCGTGGTGCCATTTCCTGTATAATGATCTTATATGCTAGATTCCAGTTATTGACGTATACTTATATGGTTGAGGAATGAAAACTTGACCTTGTTAAATCCTTGTTCAGCTGTAAATTTTAGCTGCATCTTGTCTTTGGGTATTGATTCTGTTCATCACTTTCTGTCCTGCGGACAATCCATTATAAATAAATAAATATGGTCATTGTTTTGTGCACGAAACCTAATATTTTATTTAATTATGGGAACATTGGGTGGTGAAAATAAATATTTTGTTCTTCAATTGGTTTTTATTATTTGCAATTTAGGTGACGTTTTGATGGTCTTTTATGGGGGAATTCATTTGTAGAGATCTATTTCCATCACATATTGAGGGTTGAAGGAAAATTAAATAGCAGCTAAAGTTTTTAATCACCTCAAATAATAGGATTTGTACTTCTCCATTTTGATTTTCAAAAATCCAAACTAGACGTGTGAAGTAGGTTGTGTCAATCCAAACACATCTCCTTTTGGCAACCCGTGATAGGTAATGTGCCAAGCTTTGTCTTGTTAAGCTTGGCATGGCCTAAGTTGCACTGTTGAGCGCCTAAAAACGGATATGGTTCGTTCCGGTCAACCTATTATGCCCTGTTTGATGGTCATTATTTGGGAAAAAAAATTGTTTTGAATAGTGATTCTTAAAAGCATGTGTGGTTACAAAGTATGAAAAAGTTTAGGGTTTATACGTAGAATATTTTATTATGTGAACGTCTGATTGAAAATGAATGTAGAATAAAGAGTTTTCAAATAATGGTTGTCAAATAGGGGCTACGTCTACAGAGAAAGTGTGTCATCAAGTCGTGCCATTAGTCATTCACACTTGAACCCCAACCAACACACAAGAAATATAGGGATCATAAAAAAATGAATAATGATGTCTAGCACCAATTTAGGCGACACTTTATAGATTCAATTAAATGAGTCATGTGACTTTGCACTTTAATGAATCTATCATTTAATGTCACGTAATTGTCACCTAGACGAGTGCTTAACACTAGTGATAATAAATATCATTCCTCTAAAACAAATAGGAAGGCAATAAATGCGGTTAGAAAACAACCATAAATAGAAGAAATAAACATGTTCCTAGTCCGTGGCTCTCTCGTATGTAAATTCAAAAGTAAGGGCCAAAGAAATTACCCAAAAATAGGCAAAAAAAAAAAAGAGAGATAGAATAGAAAGAAGAGATAAAAAGGATTGAGATATAGAGGAGTAAATTTGAGGGCAGAATGTGTCATTGAATGGCCATTTTGTCAACCCTCTTCTTCTAACTTTTTGCATGCATTGATTGAAATTTTTACGTTTTGATCCAACCACAAATGATGTTTATTACAACAATTGATTACGACGTTGTTTTTAAATCTCTTAACGATTCTTGTTAATATTTTTTGTTCCAAAAGATTTCAGAAAGGCCTATTATTTTAATTTCTCCTCATTTTTCCTCTCGTGCACTTGCTGCCCTTGAGAATCTTGATTCTTCTTCCTTAATTCAGATTGGGACAGCAATATGGGACAATGTTGTTCATGTCATATTCAAAGTTATTATGTCGAGAATCGTGAAGAGGAAAGAGAGGTTGAACGTGAAGATATTATATTTAGAGGCCACGCTGGGGCGCATGTTAGGCTGCAAGGATCATCTAAATTTGTATCAATGTATGCTCAGCAAGGGAAAAAGGGGACCAACCAAGATGCCATGACTGTTTGGGAGGTATATTCATTTCTTTTTCGCCTTCGTTTCCTATAGTACATTTCTTAATTCTTAAAAAAGTTTTCAATAAATTTGTGGGATATTTCTTCTTGATTTCGTATTCCTGTATTTCATATCACAGAATTGATCTGCGTGCGTACGTGTTCTCTGTGAATGATACTTTGCATATTTGTTTCATGTTATATAACATTCTTTCTAACTTTTGACACCAAAATATCAGATAAATTCAGCTATTAATGCATTTTGTCGTTTATTAATAGTATTAATGTTGTTTTGTTCTATGGCCTTTTAACTAAAATGTTCTTTGCCAATTGTAATTTATTGTCTTCCTCTTAAATAGACATTTATAGCATATGATTGTGGTTTTAAAACTTTCTTCTGATATGACTGCTTGTTTCAGAACTTTTCGGGTGCGAAAGACACGTTCTTTTGTGCTGTGTTCGACGGACATGGTCCGTCCGGCCACAAGGTGGCACGATACATTCGCGATGTTTTGCCAGTGAAAATTTCAATGTTAAATAACAAGTCAAAGGCAAATGCTGAAGGGAAAATTGGCAATGATCATCCATTTTTGTCATCATGGAAAGATAAAATAATAAAGTCTTTCCAGGAAATGGATGAAGAACTTGAGGGTGATGCATCCATTGAAAGCTACTGCAGTGGTACAACCTCAGTGTCTATACTTAGACAGGTACAATTTGTAGTTAAATAAATTGGCATTGGAATAATCCCGTAATTTTCTTTACACAAGTAATTCTCCTTTTCATGATTTCATTGCAATGTTTCAGGGTGAACACCTTATAATTTCGAACTTAGGGGATTCTCGTGCTGTTCTATGCACTCGGGACGAGAAAGATCAACTTATTTCTGAACAGCTTACAGTTGATCTGAAGCCAAATCTTCCAAGTTAGTGTCCCTTTTTCCTTCTCTAATCATGGTGACAATCAAGAGTTTTCATTTTACTATTGGTTTCCTTATTCTAATTTTATACCATGTAAAACCAGGAGAAATGGAACGAATTAAAAGTTGTCAAGGCAGAGTTTTGGCAATGGATAAAGAACCAAACGTGTACAGAATATGGATGCCCGATGAAGATTGCCCTGGTCTTGCCATGGCAAGAGCTTTCGGAGATTTTTGCTTAAAAGATTTCGGCCTCATCTCAACCCCTGAAGTAACTTATAGAAAGCTGACACAAAGAGATGAATTTGTTGTCTTAGCAACTGATGGGGTAAGAACTCGTAGCACACACTATTCGGCAGTGAAAATGTAATGGCACGATGTGAGAAATATTTACTTCTTGTTCAGTCCAATCAATCTAATGGAATATATGTTCTTTTTTCCAGATATGGGATGTGTTATCAAACGATGAAGTAGTACGTATCGTGGCTTCGGTCAAGAAACGATCTCTAGCAGCTAAACTGTTGGTGGATCAAGCTGTTCGAGTCTGGAGATACAAGTATCCGTGTGCAAAGATTGATGATTGTGCTGTCGTATGCTTGTTCTTCAAACACCCGAGACCTTTGTTAACTAAGTCCATATCAGAAGTGGCTGAAATCAGTTTGAATCATACAGAACTCGGAACAAATGCAAGAACTGATGACGGTCTCGATACAGTTTTGAACTGTAATGTTGAAGAAAGCCCGGAAAATGATCCGAATGGTGGTGTTCATTTGGATTCTACAACGCACCGGCCTCGGAAAAGAAGAACAGTAAAGAAAATTGATCAGGTTGGAGACTGATAAGGGCTCAAGTGAATTGTTTGAAGCCTGTAAGCATTTGAAAAAACACAAGATGAAAATAGTATTAGTCTTAGTGAACCGTTCTTGAAAAAATACTTTATACAAAATTAATATCTTGATGATGAATGTAAAAAGAAGAAAAAATCCTTCAAAATAGAAAGAAATATATGTTTGATAACATGGAATATGCACAATCCATCATGGAGTGCAGCAATTTTACGTCTCTGAAAACTTAAAAATTTCATATTTCTCTTTGAATGTTTGAATTCTTGATATGCTTATTTAGGCACTAATCAACATGATTAAGAAAGGGAAGGAAAAAAAAATTATAAGTGTGTACAGTATTGTCTAGTACTGTAATCAACCGTGTCGGTCTTTGATTGTCCCTGGGACAAACTGGAGTTTGGTTGTGCCTGATAGTCCATACAAACATTTTTTCATAGTTTGGCATAATTTTCATTGTGAGTTAATTGTTCCAATGGTCACTCAACTTAGATCTATGTCTTTAATTGGTCATTGAAGTTTAAAATGTTTTCGATTGCTCACTGAACTTAGGTCCATGTTTCCAATTGTTCATTGAAATTTAAAATGTCGAATTTTTGCCACTAAATTTTGAAAAATATTGTACATTATTTACTGAACTATGAAAAAATATTGTACATTACTCATTGAACTTTGAAAAATACTGCACATTAATTACTATAAATTCGATATTTTTCAAAGTTCAATAGTTATGCTAATGAGTAACGTACGGCATATTTCGAAATTCAGTTGTCAAAACTCGACATTTTAAATTTCAATAAGCAATCTAAGACATGGACCTAAGTTCAGTGAGCAATCGAAGACATTGACCTAAGTTCAGTGACCAAAACTCGACATTTTAAATTTCAGTGACCAATCAAAAATATGGACCAAATTTCAGTAATTATTGGAACAATTAACTCTTTCATTGTTGCTAGCAGATTCTGCTGAGCTTTCTTCATTGGTTAAGAATTTTGAAACTCTCAGTGATCAAGTCCACACAGCCCATTATGAATGCATAATCATAACAGCATTATCCATAGCCCATTTCCTTGTTTAAGTAGCCCAATTAGAAAAGTCTGTTATCTGTATAAAGAGGTAATCTTTATTGAGAGATTCTTGAAAAATCTGCAAAAAGAGCAGAAATTTCACTGATTGGAACAACCAAACAAATGGTACCAATTTTTCTGAACGTTTAAGAAAAGATACAAAAAGAGGTAGCTTTGGACAGAAGAAGCAGTGAAGTACAGTCCCACAAAAGTAGAACCTTTAGTTTCCAATTAAGAGCACTGTGCCCACACTCCCTCATTCTTTTATTTTCAATATTTAACCTTGTTTCTTAATGTAGACACTCTCAATTCATCCCTTAATACTTAAAAGAGACCTCATCCAATTCACTAATATAGCCGAAATATCACGACATCGATGGATCATTACATTTATGATTTTTTACAATAATTAATTTAATAAAGAAGATGTTAAACTCAACACAATCTCCTACATCTGCATGGTGAATGGATGCCTCACTATCATATAGAGGTCGTATCTTGGAACTTATCTTGAATTATATCATGGTATTTTAACTAAAAATCTGATTCTTAAGAAACCTATTTTGAATCGGACTATATACTAACCCCTCTAATTTATTGTTGAATTTTGATTAAGCCAACCACATTGAACATGGGTCATGTCAAAATTTAGGAATGGAAACCGAGCAGACGAAATTATAAAATCCTCATTTACCGCAACATTTTAGCTACTTATTTTATTTTTAATATTAGTTTTATTTTTTTTAATACAATTTAATTTGAAAAAATATATAAATAAATTTGAGGTGGGTTCGAAGAATTCAAGACTAGACCATATTCCTCATCCCGCTCCAATTTTGTCATTTCTAATCAAAACTACACGAATAGTGCTGGTCCTGTTGTTGCCCCATCCCACATTACATTCTTAATTATAGATAATGATTTTGGTGTCCCAAATTATTCTTCCTAGTTGGGTTTGCCAACAATTATCTGTATTTCCAATCTTGAAAGTAAAATACGAGGGCCATCATTAACATCTTAAGGCTAGTGATAAAACATAATAATGCTAATTGAAAAGCATTGTTTCTTGGATAAAGCAGGAGTATGGGGGAACCATGGATGGAAGAAAGAAAACCCTGCGATAAGCAGACAGACCCACTGTTTTCTTTTGAAAAAAAATTCAATAACAAGCCCAGATTCTGTTTAGTCAATTCTCCCCTCCATTACGCTTTCTTTTTTCCCGTTTCCCCAAAAAAGCATGCGTCTATTAGTACAAGCAACTGATTTGATTTGATCCTCTTTTCCACCCTCTCCTCAGACACATTTGCCTCAGAAGTCTTCCTCTGCTGACCCACCCACATGTATTGCCATTTCTATCCAAATCTCTAATCATTCGTACACATGACAAGCAATCTAATCTTTTGTTGTTTGAGATCATTTGAAGAGCCCGGCTAGACTGTGAAGGTCACAACCCCATTAATATAAAGAGATCATTTAGAGTACAGTACTATTAGGCGTAGATTATGCAGGGCATTTAAACTCCCCACAAAAGAGAAGCAGGTTAAAAAGAAAAAGACACAAACAAAAGAGCCCAAAAAGAACAAAGAAACAGACAATTCTTTCTTGATTCTACACTATTGATGTGGACTTTCGGACGAGATATCGATAAGCAGCAACTTTTCTTTTGCGGGAGGCGGTGTTATCGACGGAAAGAACCATTTTTCCGGCTTCTCTGGCCGTAAACGAGTTGTGAATTGCGTCTTCGTTGGCTGCCATCCTTCTCTGTTTCTCCACAGCAACGGTGTAGCTACCTTCTGCATTGGGGACAAATTCAGCACTGTATTCCAATTCCCAGCCACCAACTACTATGTCCCATGATATTGTTGCACCGGCCTGCATTGTTATCCGTTAAGAATAATTCAGTATACTTTAAACAATCATCGAAAGTAGTTGATGAACCAAAAACTTGTCTAAAATCTTAAACAGAATCTATCTATTATTTGATACCTTCAACAGAATCTATGATAATTTGTACTAGATTATTACCTCAATGCCCTCAATTTGTATGTTGACTTTCTCTCCACCTTTGACAGTGAACTCGGATGCTGGTTTTGGTGGACTATTAAGGACATCACTGGGTCGACTCAGTCCACCATATTGAACAGGGACATCCTCTGGCCTAATAAACCTGATCAAAAGATATATAATTCAATTCAATACAATCAACAGAGAGACGCAAACTCAAACAAGAACCCACATGAAACCAATAATGCTTGATTTTAATCTTGTCCAATGTTGTGTCTACTCTGGAAAACCAATAATTAAAAGCATGAAATGCTCTTCTCCATTGTAGTGACTGTGATATGCAACAACACAAAAATTGGCACATTTTTGTGTTCCATGAATGGAAAATACAGATGCATACAAAAAAGAATCAGCATTAAAAATCACATAAGATAATTTATTAGTTATCATTATCTGTATACAGTGAAGAAAAAGGGAAAAAAATAGTTTAATGTTATAATTTAAACAAGATAAATTCAGAATAGTTTAAGATACTCACTTGTAAAGTGTCTCAGCAACATTTCCTTCCTTGGATATCACAAATTTGCTCTTTGTTCTTTGAGTGAGAAATGGACTGAACATTGAATACAGCAGACTAAAGTACCATGGCACATTGATAAAGATCTACACGAACAAAATCCACAAAATCAAACAATGGCATTCAAGAACATAAAAATCCACAATTCTAAATTAATTACCTTGCGCGCTACCATTTCAGGGTAATTATCTTGAAAGAGAGATAAAATGTGATTCGAGGCAACTCTGAGCTCTCTTTTGGGCATGTCTTTGAGATCAGTTACCTGAATAATGGAGTTAATCCCACCAGGTTTAAAATGCAGTAATTTAATACCTCTTTCAAGAACTTGAACTCTCCATCTCAAGAATTTCTTAAGCTTATCATCATCCCCAAAAACCCTCTCATACATTTCTCTGTCTTTGAAAACCCCATAAGCATTGTAGCAAACTGGATGTCCCTCTCTGTCATAAGCGTGCATATAAGCCACAACACCTTCAAGCTCCTTAAACCCCAAATCTTCTTCCACAATGCCATCAGCCTCAAAATCTTTTCTCCAAGAAAGACACTTCTGCAACATACTAAGTGAATCTTGAACTTTAAATTCCCTTGCACGAAGGAATTTCAAGAGAATAACATCAGCCCTTTCATCACCTCCCAAGAGTGGAATGCCCCACATAGAATCAGGCCCATTTGAGGCAGCCATGAGCTTATCCTTAAGCTCCTGGAGAGCCTTCTTTTCAGATGCTTTGAGGTGGGAAATGAAGTATGTATCTTCTTTAAAAGAAGGGGTTCTCAATGTGGCTGCTTCCATTAAAGAAGTAACAAAATTTTTCTTCAAAGGTGATGGCTTTGGGGAAAACTCAGGAGTCTGATCTAGAAGATTAAGACTTTGTTGCACAGAAATAGGAGATGTGGCTTCCATTTCTTGAGACTAAAAATGAAAGCCCAAATGAAAATCTTTGTTTAAAAATGCAGTTTGGTAGTGTGAACAAGAACTAGAGAAAGTGATCAAGGACAAAACAGAGAGAAAAAGGATGAAAATGGTTGGATGTATAAATTATTGTTGTCGAGGTGACATGATTGAGCAGGGCAGAGCGGTTGCAGTTTGAAGATTTTGAATGTGAAATGTGAACTTTGAAAAGCAGCTTTAAACAGCTTCATTCCTGAACCCAGTTCTGTAGCTTGTGTTGGGACTCCCAGCCGCTGCACACCTCACCCCACTCCTTTTTGTTTGTTTTATTTTCTTTTACCTGGTTTTTCTAGAGAACCGTGTATTTTTCTTTTGTTTTCTGTTTTGGTTTGCTACTTTTCTTGAGAATTTTTTCACCTGCAAAAGTAAAACTAATTTTAAACTTTAAAGCGAAGATTAGTTGGATATGATTAACATGTATCATAGGATTCATAGCTTAATATCTTTCTTCTCTCATCTTTAAGAAATGTCAAGTCGATTTATCATAAAAATGTTTCAAATTTTTCCTTCTCGTTCTTGCACTGCAATTATCTTCTTTTACTTCTCCTTATATCCTCGATTATTCAATTTACAAGCTATTATATCTCAATTTCAATTAGAAAACAACACTCTATATTAGTTTATACCAAAGTTGACGGTCTCTATGTTCAAGTACATGCTAGAAGATTCTCACGAGGATGGATAATAATAAAGGAGCATCCTTAAAACTGTGATGGACCCAATGGACTGGACTTGAGGTGAATTTCGAGCTTTATCCTAAGTAATATACGGTTAATTGTATTGGTTGTATAAATTATAACTTCTAGATAAAATTGTGATAATACTCTACATAGATATATTGTATTAACGAGAAAATTTAAGTGAATGAATTACATTTTTGAAATATCTTAATTTATGGCAAATGCTATCATTTTATCACTTAAAAAGGCGTTGTTTAATTAATTGCCATAAATTTCAACTTTAGTTTTGTTGTTATCTTAATTCTAGAATTTTGCTTAGAATAGGACTACATTTTGCATTGTTTGTATCCACTAAGCTTCGCTCGAAATATTGGTTTATTTGGTGCGTGATTGAGCTTAAATTTGAATTGAAGCCGGTTAAATATTTTTTTTATCCACAAAATTGTAGGACTTATCATTTATTCTCTATTTATTATTTATAAATTTTGTAGAGTTAATAATATATTTAAAAACACTAAACGTGTGCTTAAATTTCCTTCGAACTCTCGATATTTCGTAATCTTTATTCTCTTTAGTCCTTGTTTGAGTCCTATTATTAGAAATGAATGTATTTTAAAATAGTAGATTGATGAAAAATATTTAGTTAAAAATTAAGAAAAATTTTGAATTTACGCCCTTGTTTGAGCCTCATTTTTTTTTTTATTGAAAAATGTATAGTTAAAAATAAATTTTCAAAAAATGAATTTTTAGAAAAATAATGGGCTATGTTCCTAAAACAAATCAAACAAATAGGCTCGGACATCGGCTCCACTGAAGACGAGCAGCGGCTGGAGCCAACTGCAGAGGTTGGTGGGCCCGTGACAAGGACGTGGTGGTAATAATTGGGATCAATGATGATGATGCTTAATGGGCTATGGGCTTCATGTAGGACTTTAGCCCATAGGATACGGAGATGTTGTGTTATGCGATTGGGCCTACCTTTTACTTTTTTGTGTCTAGAATGAAAGTGGGCCCAGTTCGCCTGCAACAAGCTTCCAAGAGTTCAAAATTCTTTGGCCGGTCCTACTTTTTCAGGGGGGAATTCTTTTCAAAAAGAAACTCTGAATCTTGTCTGTATTCATGACTACTCGCCATACATGGATATGTAGATGCAGTAATACACTTACACAGATTATAGTGCCTCTGTACTTGTTTGGTAAGAATTTTAATAATTAATTTTTTAATCGTTAGAAATAAAGTGAATCCTACTTCTAAGAGAAGAATTCAAAAATAACAGATAAAATAATAAAATAACGGTGAAAAAATTGATTTTAAATGGCTCAAAATCTGTACCAAACAAGCACTATATATAAGATCAAGGTAATTGGCACAAAATCCATATGATTTTTGCCTCCGTTGACGAATATTTCAAATCCTTTCATTATAGTAAAATACTACATAGATGACCTTTTTCATGCGAAAGACTAATTGCATTAGTTTAGGTATTAAAAGCAGTAAAGATGGCCAATAATATAAGAATAATTGGTGCGATAGCCTCTAACCTTTTTATTTTTGCACATCTCTCTAACCTTTAATTTTGGTGCAAACTTTCCCTAAATCATCCAAACTTTGAGGAATACAATATCTTCGTTATTTTTCTCTATAAAGCCTTTTAAAATGATGGGTTTATCCCTTTCCTTAAATAAATAAAAAGAAAAAAATTAAGAAAACAATTGCATCTTTTCAAAATATTGGAAAAGATAAACTTTTTCCTTTTTAAAAACAAAAATGTTTTTTTTTTAGTTGGACTTATTTGCATGTTTTGAAAAGATTTAGGACTCTGCCTACAATTTTTTTCTTAATCTTATTCTTTTTGTCTATTGAAAAAGAAGGGCTAATGTGTCATTTTACAAGGTTTTATAGAGAAAAATGATGCAAATATTGTATTTCACCAAGTTTGGATGATTTAGGAGAGTTTTGCACTAAAATGAAAGGTTAAGAAAGTTTTGCACCAAAGTGAAGGTTAGGAGGTATTTTGGCAAAAAAAAACTAAAGGTTATGGGGGTATAGTGACAATTACTCTTATATCATTGGCTATCTTTGCTTTTTTAACGCGTAAACTAAGAAATTGGGCAGTAAAGGGTATATCGCCAAAATGAAAGGATATGGTCACGAGTTTTGTTCCAATTACCTGTAAGGTCATCTCCAAAATACTAAGCACAAAATATTTTGTTCATCTTTGATAAAGAGTAAAATTTAGATTTAATTAAGTTAAAGTCAACAATAAATTTTAATTACATATTTCATGAGATCAGTAATTTGATTTTTCCTTCATTAAATGTAGTAAAGTTTGTCCTCTACCCATAGATTTTAATTAATTTAAGTTTTACCGTGACATCAAATGTGTGATTCAATAAAAATAATGAGTTTCAATTGTGCAATCTAAAGAAAGGTATAGGCATCAGGGGCAGACGCAGAGATTTTTAGTTAGAGGCACGATCAAAATATTTACAAATCAAATTTTTTGTTCTTGATTTTTGAATTATTTATAATTAATCGAGAAAATACAGATTTACATTTAAAAAAAAATTTCTTCATTAATATTTTGCTTATCATAAGAAAATACATATTTATATTTAAAAGATTTATAATGTATTTAATACAAACAATCAATTCAAGTAATCAAAAGAAAAAATATATAATCAATATTCAATCAAATAAATACAATTCGTTAAATATAAGTTAAATTGGATATAATCAATCCAGTCACATTCTATGTATATAATTAAGATAAAGAAAATGCAAATTTAGGTTCTAATTAATTGAGAATTTGATTGGAAAGTGAATTTTTTTTAGTAAATATGATAATTTATAAAGAAAATTTATGAACAAATTTTAAAAACATTAGAAGGGTTAAGATTTTGATAAAAAATGTGAGGGTGAGCGTAAGATAGAAAAAAGAGAAATGAGAAAAAAGTTCAAATTTATTGTAGTTTTGCCCCTAGTTGGTGGAGGTTAAAATTAAATTTTCAATATATTTTGATAAAAGTTAGAAAGTTAAGGATTCCATAAAATATATTATTAAAATTAATTGTTAACTTTGATTTATATTAAAATTTAGATTTCAATTGATACCAAAAAAAACCTATCCCAAAAAAAA